TTTGAAATCGTACTGTGTTGAAAAATTTCATTAAACTTCTGTAAGTTTAATGAAATTTTTCAGCTCAGTGGCAAGTATCATAGACAATAGAATTTTGATTCAGAACTAAAAAAACGCCTTTATGATATGCTTTATGAAATTATAATTGACAGATTAAAGCACGTATACTTTAAGTTTCCGGAATGCATAAGAAAAAAATACTACATATACTACATATACTGTATATATGGTCAGAAATGAATTTAATGTTTCTCAAAATATTCTCCGTTAGCGTTAATGCACTTTTTCATACGAATGAACCAGTTTTGAAAACACTCAAACAACTGCCTCCGTGGCCGAACGGTTACCATGCTGCCACGCAGAGGTCCCAGGTTCGATTCCCGAGCCGGGAGAAATATTTGTATGGCCTACATTTATTTCTCTCGTGAGTTTGGGTGTAATTTGTGGTTGTCTATGTGTGTGTGTCCATGGCACCCGCGACACAGGGTTTTCCTAGTGCGGGGCTATGTTGAGTGTGTGCGTTACTTAGTCCTCCGTGACAATCTCTGAAACATATTTTTCATATTCTTCGAGAGCCTCTTCAGGTGATGAAAATCGTTGACCGCGTAACTGGTTCTAAATTTTCGGAAATAAATAAAAGTTACAAGGTGTCAGGTCGGGACCGTACGCGGGATGGCTCATAAGGTCAACGTTGTTCACCTTCAAAAATTCATTTGTCTGTCTGGCTGTGTGAAAACTGGCATTATCGTGGTGCAAGATGATACGGCGTTTACGGTTATTTTTACAGAGTTTGTCAATAACTTCCGGCAAACAAATGGGCGTGTACCAATCACTATTCACGGTACAACGATTCTCCAAAGCAACAGTAGCCACGTGTCCAGTTTTATTAAAAAAAGAAGCAATCATCCGCTTCGAGGCACTTCGCACGCGCGCCACTTTGGTTGGTTTCGGCTCTTCTCGAAAGAGCCATACGCCCGATGGCTGCTTTGTTCTGGGATCTTAACTATAAATCCGTGTTTCGTCAACTGTTACTATATTCCGCACCAAATTTGACGTCCCTTTGTTGAATCTGGTGAGCATGGCATTGCACCAAGTGACGCGATCCGTTTTTTGAGTCTCAGTCAAAATGTGTGGAATCCACCGAGAGCACAGCCTTTTCACACCCAAATGTTTGTGTAGTATTGATTGTATTTGACTCATGCCTATGCCTAAAGATGCCCGAATGTCATGGTGTGTCACATGCCTGTCTGTTTTGATCATACGGCGCACAGCATCGATGTTTTTGTTGTTCACAGCAGTGGACAGGTGACCATCACCAAATTCGGCAGAGATTCACACGACCGCGTTTGAATTCTGCAAACCAGCTATAAATAGTCGTCTTGCATAGTGTTTCATCGCCAAAAGCAGTTTGAAGCCAAGCGAAGCTCCACTGAGCTGTTAAATTACGCTTAAAGTCGTGGAAAATCATACTACGAAAATTTTCATGAGTTAAATCCATGGTGATGTAGACAACCAATTTCTAAAATGACGCCACATTGTAAAAACAAGTGACAGTCAGATGAAACAAACTGTATTCTACAGCCAAAGAGTTTCATTTTCAAATGTTGTAATTACTTTTTAAATATTGTTTATGTAAGTGTCCAGTTCCTACCTATAACCCCAACACCCTTAAAACTACGAAAGTGAACAAAGACATTCGTTCAAGAATTGCGGAAACATGTCGTTAACAACTGTCCAAATTGTTTTGAAGATAATTTAATTGTACTTCTTAATGTGTATTTTCAAGTTTAAAACCGCAAACGAGTTTAACTATTTCACTAACTACCCTAATCCCCATTAAGCTAGTTAGTGAGCGGATGCTTCTCAATCGACAGGTCGACGGTTCGAATGCCTGTGGCGGCACATATCTAAACACATCAAGTGTCCAGGATCAAGCACGTTTATGCCAATTACTGAAAATCAGGTTTTTTTTTTTCTTTGATTATTTTTTTTAGCACCGACAAATTTTATAATTTGAATTTGAAAATAAAATTGACCAGTAAGGGTCGTATTTTAGAACTCTACTCAATGCTCAAGTCAGGATTTGAGTATTGTTTAAAGCACTCGAAATCATACTCAGATCCTGACTTGAGCATTGAGTAGAGTTCTAGAATACCACACTGAATAAACCATTGGTGTTAACAGTACATTGTGTATTAAGGACGATAAATAACAAATTACTAACGAGAGTTTGTTAGAACTACTCGTGTAACTTTAATACTCGAAGTGTGTATTTTTACCGCCTGTTCTACATATTGTTTCAGTTTTTCATCACATTTGCGAGGAAATATATACAACTAAAAAATGGCAGGTTTTTGTTTTTTTTAACAGCAATTCTTAAGCAAAATGCATTGACTTACAATTATATTGACGTCGGGTCCACGCTAAAAAGTGTCCGAACTTATAGGGCGTTAAAATCGTATACAGAGCGTCATTCACGCTTTAGTCTTCGTTTGTTCGACTGACAGCGAAGCAAGCAAAATTAGACAGTACTGCGATGACATTACAATTTAAATTCAACGTTTTAGCTTTTTCATATTCCTTTACATGTCACTACGTTTAAATAGGTTGACTTGGGACATTTTTTTCGTGGTTTTTGTATTAGACCCGTCGTCCATTTATTTGTAAGTCAATGGGAAAATGTTATAAAAGGCACAGACGCATGTAGCCACAACGTATTAGATATAAAATAACCATGTCCAAATTCTAAAAATACCGCAAATGTGCATTCATAAAATAAATTTAGTAAAATATAGTTAACTTGCAAATGTTTACTTTTGTTATACTTGCAGTTTCTCGTACATAACAGTAGACATAATTTACGACGTTACGTCGACTTTGCCTGCATGTCATGACACTGTTTACGAGCTAGTGTGATGATAATAAACTTAATCAAAAAAACCTTATTTTCAGTCATTGGCAAAAACGTGCTTGATCCGTGGACATTTTTGATGTGTCTGTGATGTGTGTGTGTGACTTTAATGATGTGAATGTCTATTAGCAAAATACGTCTTGCTAATAGTGTAAGAAAATATCACAATGAAACCTGCGTAAAGAAAAAGGTTTACAACCATTGGAAAACGCGTGAAGATCTTAACACATTAAGCCAGGGTGGCGGACAATGGTTAAAACCCTCTTTTCGTGGGTTGATGATCATGATGTTAGTCTTGGTACATAGACTACAAAAAATAATACAGTCCACATCGAGTTCTTAGGTTTTCGCGGTTGCTATGCATTGGAACTGGAACTATTTTTCGGATCTATAATTGAGTATATCTGTTTTTACATTTCGGACTCTTTACAGATCCCTTGATGACGCCTGACATGATACTTAATAAAAAATATTTCATAAATCCAATTTAGTAAAAAAAAAAACGTGTTAATATATTTTGCGAAATGTGTGTACCGTAAATTATAATACGTTCTTTTTTATTTATATAGACAACCATAAATTACACCCAAATTTTGTCACGAGACAAATAAATGTAGGCCATACAAATATTTCTTTAGGCCTGGGAATCAAAGCCTGGACATTATAACAACATTAATTAAATAAAACATTAATTTGACACGACTAAAACTATCTCAGTCCAGTATATGAAGCCGTAATGATGGTCTATTCATAAAAATAAATACACGACTTATCATAGATTCTGAAAAAATAATTTCATATTCAATTAATGCAGTCCTTCAAAACTTGGTAAACACAACTAGAGGAAATTAACGAAATCTTCATTGAATAAAGAATTGTTGTATCTGATACGATTACGCAGTGTCGGCACTACACAACACTGTACAGGTGAAGTCACATGTTTACGTTAGCACTGATGTCTCCTTTAAAGGTTCTTATTTAATAGGGTACAACTACAGATAACTGAGTACAAATAACACTTTGATACAGTTCGGCTTTCTTCTCAGGGAGATGGTAAAAAACTGCTAAGGCATTTCTGGCACCAAAGCGACAAATCGCTACCGGCCTAATATTGTCACATGAATATTTTAACCAATAAAAAGCACTATGCTTTTTGGTCAGTTGTGTAATAATAAGCAAAAAAGTGAACTATTTCGTTTCTTGGAAACCAGAAATCTCATTATACATCTCACATCCAATTATAATTTACAAAACATTCATATTGTACAAATATTACAATAAAAACATAAAGTCTTTTTATTCGTTGTTTTTTTGAAACCATTTGTTCATTTAATCATTTGTTGAAAACATTGACGTTATTTTTTGCTAGAAACAATGTTGTTTTGAAGGACATAATACTACAGACTCAGAACTCAAATCTCTAATTTACGATAACGAATTCTAGCATTCGTGCAATACAAGTTCATAAACACCGACTTGTAAAACCTACAAAAAATTATATGCCTAAAATAATCTTTGATTTTTTTAAAGGAAAGTAGAATAACGTAACTTTGTAGTTTTTACTGTGGTAACCCTGAGCTGTGTAAACAAAGATAATAGATGGTATTATGTGCGCGATTAAAGTGCCGGTAATAAATAGGAGATTTCTAATAGTTTCCATGTAAACATAACATAAAACATATTCCCTTCACAGAGACCCCAGTGGGCAGTAGCGAGTTTACACGGGTTAAGACAACAGAGACATAATTGCACTAACTGGGAAAGTTTCTTAATGGGAAAACAAAATTCACTAGCATAATACATGCCACAAGTTGCCTTTATTACAACTTACGTCTGACAAACATAAAAGGTAATCCGCCCGAGGCTAGCAACGCCCCAAACAAACGCAGGTCTAACCCGAGCCTCTCTCGCCTCGAGGCGCGCAATTAACACATTTTTCCGTTAATCCGCAACAGCCCCTCACTAATCCGATCGCACATCAAGCATTCCGTTTACTAAACCATGACCTTTGCCACTGAAGCACGCGGCTAATGCCCATAAAGACCTCGAATTTCAAATTTGGTAGCCGCTTCGGAGAGCACCAGTCGCCGACCGGCCGCCACACTGAGCGCACGTCCTTAGCACCCCACTCATAAAAATCGCATAACGAAGTTCGGAAACTTGTGAAATTAAAATTCTAGTGCGGTTGGATTGTTCAGTGTATTTTTATGATGTAGCGTGGTATTGACAGTTGTGTGGGCATCGGAGCCAATGGCATCGTCGAGGTAAATATTGACGAGATTCTGAAGCCACTGGTCACTACATAAGTACATATTTGCGAATCTGTCTATCGAGCGTGCATCCAACGAGTGGGTACATTATTTGCAGGGGTGTTTCTGCCGAGCTTAGCGTAATGGGTCGCGAGAGTAAATCTAGCAGTAAACAAGAACAAACGCAATTTGAGCAAATTGGCGGACATTAAAACCGACGGCGTTCGCGAAGCAGACGTAATTAACCGTTAATGCTCTTTTAGAATCTCGCCGGCAGTTAAGCGCCCGTTAAGTTAAACAGCGTATGAATATGCGGCAGCGTGTATCGCGGATCACGGATTCACAGTTGACGGCACGACTTGCCTCAGCAAATACTGTGCATGCTAGGTACACTTTCAAGAACACCTTACATAAGCGCAGGACTCCTGCCTTCACTTATGTAACTATATAACTTGATCTGACTTTTTTCAGAAATCCAATTTTATATGAATAAAATATTGAATTCTTATATGCAGTCCCTTAGCTCTTCCGTCTATCAATACTAATGCTGGGTACATTTCCGTCCAACAGTCTATTTATCAATATCAAAATTATCGCTCGCCATTTTTCTTGTGCGTTATAGTTTCTTTTATCTGTAAGCCTTTTGTTCTCGGCATTGGGGAATTTTGCGGTGACGAATCAAAGCATTTTCGGAACTTACATTACCATAAAGTGAACGACGGAATAGGGAAAGTATGCGGGAAAAAAAAACAAAAAATATCGCCAAAAAATAGGACATTGAACAACGAATGTCTAGGCAATAACAAGTTTGATAATCGTGAGTAAATATGTCGTTTCTGGTAATGGCGAGAGAGGGGAAAGGGTGCGAAGTGCGGGCGGGCTAATGCACTGTAATGCACCGTCTTCAGACCAAGGATGCAACTGTAAGTGCCCACTTAGACCTCCGCATGTTACTTTAATAATGTCTACAACCTAAATGTTTCTATCTTACTAGTTACATGAATCCATTTCATGAATTTCAGGTCTTGCATTGTATTATACGAGATTCAACAAGATTCAAATTAGAGCAACTTGTCAACCATTACCGGAAATTAAAGAATATTATTATACAGAATTATCATTGACTTACAATTATACGGACGTCGGGTCCGCGCTAAAAAGTGTCCGAACTTATAGGGCGTTAAAATCGTATACAGAGCGTCATTCACGCTTTAGTCTTCGTTTGTTCGACTGACAGCGAAGCAAGCAAAATTAGACAGTACTGCGATGACATTACAATTTGATTTCAACGTTTTAGATTTTTCATATTCCTTTACATGTTACTACGTTTAAATAGGTTGACTAGGGACATTTTTTCCGTGGTTTTCGTATTAGACCCGTCGTCCATTTATTTGTAAGTCAATGAGAATTATACGTAATAACAAACGTGTTCATTTCATTAATTGCAACTGCTGAAACGAATTTCAATCAACGCAAACGACGTACAACTTGAAAGCAGTGGACAATTTGAGCCCCGCAATTCCATTACTTGGAATTACCTAAACCTATACAGTCAAGAGGCTTATCTCACAACTGCCTGATAATTATATATTTGGCAGTTCAAATTTTGTTTGAAACTAATTCACTGAATTAATCTTTGTATAAATGTTATTTTTGGAACATTCAAGAAACGTTTTGAAATCGTTTTTAAACATTCAAGAATCGTTCTGAAAAAGCAAACGTGTTTGAATTTCATGACGTCGAAAAATCAAGAGTTTTTTTTACACTGCCGTTCCTGGATGTGAAGGACTAGGAGCGGATTACCAGTAGAGTCTACCTGGGAAATGAACTTTTCTAAATAGGTTCTCGTTAGGTGTACTAGGCAGTGCCCCAGAGTGAGTTCCGTTACTTTGATACTCATAGTACATACAGAGGATTCGCAAGTTTGAGAACAGACAATTATCGTCATCGTCGAGTAGTCTCGAACGTTTTTAATTATTTAGTCGTTATCATTGAAAATGTTTTATGGAATGCTATAAATATAAATTTTCCTTAAAATAAAATTTAAATTAACTATAATCTATAACTTTGTACCACGTTGGAACCATTAAACTTTGATCATTGTATTGTTATAATGGACAATAAATGTATCGTTTTAACTGAAGCGAATTAATTACAACCTTTTAGTCTTACACAACACTAAAAGTGACAATTCCTGGAGTTCCTAAGAACTATACTGCAAATCCAGCACTATAAACAGGATTGCCTTTAAGAGATACAGGTACTGCGTCTCTAGTCACATTATAACTAGAGACGCAAACATCTGATCGGGCATTCCGCCCGAGTCCTATTCCCATCCGGGCCGATTTACAGGTCGTAAACCGTGATCGCCAATTTACGGCCCAAGGCCTCTTCCATTCATGTGTAAACTTATATAGTTGTTGAATTTGTGGAAGGCAACATTGCAAGAGAACGGTAAGTATCTATGGATGTGATACCTATACAAAAAAGCAATAATACGCTTGAGCAAAAGTAAAAGTTTGCCGATGAAAAGTAACTTAGCGCTGAACAAATAACAACTAGCGACAACTAATGCATTGAGATCTCACGTGAAAATAGTGTTTGCTTAAAGTATAAGAGACGGTGATTCAATAAAAGGATTGAATCGAGATTAATAACAACTGGATATATCAATTGAGAGTAGCCAATAAGATATGAAACGTCTAATGCATTACTAATAAATTAGCAATTGTACGTGTGTGTGTGTGTTTGAAAACAAGTATATTTTAAAAGGTTTTTCAGAGGGATCGATCCAGTTAGATCTTGATGATAGACAGTGTCCGAGACTGTTTTGAAAGCGACTTTGTCATAATATAACAGACACTTCCTACGTAATTTCTAATCGAATTCACGAAAAGAGCTATGTAATATTATTTTTATGTATACATATTACAGTCAGCAGTAAACTTATAAAGCGTGAAAAATAATATAGCTACACTTCTAGTTAAACTTTAAAACGCTCCCCTGTAAAGTTGGGAATTTGGGCTTACGATCCTTTCCGTCGGAGGGAGTCGCATAGGTATTAAAGTATAGAAAGTAAATAAGAACTACAAATACTTAGTCGAATGAGAGAAAAGCAAACAAATACGAAGTAGTATGGATAAACGTCAGGTTCCAAACAACGTTCTAGGAATGTTAAGTACTTAGACGGCAGTCATGATGATGCATTCAAATGACGTAGGAGATATGACGAAACACATTATCAGGTATGTACACAACGATTTTGCACAACTATCGGTCGTGATTATTGGTGAAGGAAATGAAATATTTCTGAATTAGTAAATAAATATAAATATAATTCAAGTGTGTTTTGATATGAAAGTCTTTACAGTTAAGTGACTATTTATTATTAGCTTCTGCAAATGGGATTTACAAGGATTCAACGTCAATCGAACATTTCACTCTCATGTCTTCCTTCAGTATTAAAGTGAAGAATGGGTAATTCTGGTAAAGTTTCTAACAGAAAGTTTAAATTGAATGGGTCCAGATTTATTTGTTCTGAACTCAGATATTGTTAAAAGTCGGTGAAAGTAACCGAAACCAATATGACGCCGAATTACTTCGGGATACGTGTCATAACAATGTTGACAAAAACAAACAACCTAATAAACCTTTTAAAAATTACCGGAACAAATTTGCCAGCTCAAAAAATTACCAGCTCAGATATATTTTCAAAATTTAAATTGTAATATTTTTACTCTTATGCAAGACATAGGTAAATTCCCTACTCACGAATTTAAACATAAATAAGTTCATGACTAGACTGACGACCTGGTTGAAAGTCGCTATTGGAGCCGCAGACGGCCTAAAACTGTGCGCGTTGGCATTTTATTGAGGAGGTTCAAGATGACGGCGATGATTAGTTAGAATGAACGAATTTTAACATTTACGTCTACAATATTTACGATTTAACAAGTATTATATACACTGAGATAAATAGAGAAGATCTAGTGATTTCCGGTTGCTAATAGGACTACCCCACGATTATTGACGAGTCGTTGAAAAGGATTAAGGACTAAATTCAAGAGTTGCAGCGTCATTGTGAATGAGTGAGAAAATGAAACAATCGCGTTATCACTCAGTGGCTCTCTCGACATTTGTGTGGCTGGTGCAAACCCACCTACCAAGTGAAACAATTCCAAACTGTCCTTTAATGCAGAGATCTAGAGACCTAGAAAAATGCATTTGTCTCATGAGGGCGATATAAGTAGCAAGATAAAATAAATACACAACAGTCGTCAATGGATCAAAGTGGTGATCGTTCCCATAAAGAATAATAAGAACATTCTATGACTCCCTGTACGATCATGAGGTTCGGTGTTAAGATAAAAAATTGCCAACCTAAATCGGCACTTGTACGTCGCTCATCGAATCGATGTGGTTTTCGTATGTGTTCAACAATTTTCGGTTCGCTGTCGGAAGTTCAACGGCCGTCCTCATAAAGATTCTAAAATAATATGACTTCTATTTATTAAACAACATTGTAGGCAATTATATAACAACCTCGATGACCCACCGGTTGGGAACTCACATGAAAAGGACGGCTGTTGTATCTTCGGCAAAACCAATTCAGGAAAGTTGCTTATTTTCGATACGTAATAAGTCGTTTTAAGTACCTAGTTTCCCGGACATAATGTTATGTCTTTGGTACTCTTTTGATTTGAGGCCAATGTGTGTAGGTGAGATTGAATTTTTTCAATTCTGATAAGAGATGCTTAGATAATATAAGAGGTACATACACAATATTAAGATGAATGTGCCGAGTTAAACAGCAACAACTCCCCGAGAAAGACGGAGTGTACGAATTTATTGGCCAATTTGGGATGTGTCTAAAACCGGCTCGCTCTGAAACACGCCAGGTTTGTTATGCTCACCAAATTCTTAGAAAATTTTGCAGATTGCTAGTACGCTCACAATAATTAATTTTTGAGGGAATAATTTGATCAATACCAACTTTTTACAGTTAATTAAAGAAT